AGCTGGGATTACAGGCACGCGCCACCATGCCCAGCTAATTTTTTGTATTTTTAGTAGAGATGGGGTTTCACCATGTTGACCAGGATGGTCTCGATCTCTTGACCTCGTGATCCACCTGCCTCGGCCTCCCAAAGTGCTGGGATTACAGGCTTGAGCCACCACGCCCGGCCACTGTTATGGGTTTTAATAAGTCATTGCTTCTACCTTTTTTGAGGACCCCAGGCATGCACCACCATGCCCAGCTAATATTTGTATTTTTTTTATAGAAAAAGGGTTTCACTATGTTGGCCAGGCTGGTCTCAAACTCCTGGGCTCAAGTGACCTGCCCACCTTGGCCTCCCAAAGTGCTGGAATTACAGGTGTGAGCCACCGTGCCCGGCGCTGCTTTTTATTGGTTTTTCAGAGTGAACATTTGTTAGAAACATTGAAGTGGGATTACAGGCCTGTCTTGGTGGCTCACATCTGCAATTCCAGCACTTAGGAGGCCAAAGCAAGAGGATCACTTGAGCCCAGAAGTCCGAGACCAGACTGGGCAATAGAGTGAGACCTTGTCTCTAATTTTACATTTTTTTTTTTTTAAATGGGAATGAGTGTTGGAATCCAGTGGTGACCAGATTCCTTGGAGACTCAGTAATATTTTTTATGTGCTTGACAACTGTGTCTGGCTTTTTCTGCTCTCTAATTCTCACAGGGACACTGTGAAGTGGATTCTATTGCTATTATCAGTTTGCAGGTGAAGAAACAGATTTAGAGAAGTGAGGGCTCAGTGTGTGTATGAGAGGGAAGGAGGTCTGTTTCAGAAACCTTGCTTTTTCTCTGTCCAGCTCCTTGCTGCTCTCTTCCCCATACCAGCCCAGTAATCCTACTTTTAAAAACTATCTTAAGGAAATACTGTTTTTGAAAGGGGCAGGGGGATGTCTGCACAGAAAGTCCAGTGTTGTTTTTAAGACTATGTAAGTAGCAGCTGTTACCATGATTTAAAAATTTTTAACTGTTAAACATATTTTTTACAATGTGCTAGAATCTCAGTAAAGTTACATTTAACTAGTTTAAAATTATAAATATGGGCCAGATGCAGTAGTTCATATCTGTAATCTCAGCACTTTGGGAGGCCAAGGCAGCAGGATCACCTGAGCCCAGGAGTTCAGGGCCAGCCTGGGCAGCATAGTGAGACCCCATCTCTACAAAAATAAAAAATTAGCCAGGCTTAACACCTGTAGCCCCAGCTACTTATACTGAGGTGGGAAGATCACTTGAGCCCAGGAAGTGGAGGCTGCTGGGAGCCAAGATCGCGCCACTGCCCTCCAGCCTGGGTGACAGGGTGAGACTCCATCTCAAAAAAAAGAAAAAAAAAGATTACAGATATGAAGATAATCAGTAGGAGAAACTTAGGACATAAGTGAAGAGCAGCTCAGCTACACCTGGATTATAACGATACAGCTGTGCTCTTTAGACACAGACGAATTTGAACTAGAAGGGAATAAAAATCAACGGACCATTTTCAGAGCTGTGCTAATGCTATCTGGGTGATTGAAAATAAAAGAACTCTTGGTCGCTGCTTCTTTTTTTTTTTTTTTGGGACGGAGTTTCGCTCTTGTTACCCAGGCTGGAGTGCAATGGCGCGACCTCGGCTCACCGCAACCTCCGCCTCCTGGGTTCAGGCAATTCTCCTGCCTCAGCCTCCTGAGTAGCTGGGATTACAGGCACGTGCCACCATGCCCAGCTAATTTTTTGTATTTTTAGTAGAGACGGGGTTTCACCGTATTGACCAGGATGGTCTCGATCTCTTGACCTCGTGATCCACCCGCCTCGGGCTCCCAAAGTGCTGGGATTACAGGCTTGAGCCACCGCGCCCGGCCGGTCGCTGCTTCTAATGGGATAGCCATCCTTCTGCGTGCAGAGTCAGGCTGGGAGCTCATGCATTGTAGTGGCGGCAGGTAGCAGCCCCCAGTCTGAGCCCCAGACCTGCCCCTCCCTGTGCCCGTGGGAGTGACTTCACTTCCCTGAGCCTTGGATTCCGCATCGGTAAAGGGTGAATAATAGTTGTTTCTACCTGAGAATTGTTGTGAGGATTGAGTGCAGGCCCGGAACCAGGCCCAAAGGTTTACCACCTCCCTACACCAGGGCTTGGCCTACTTTGGGTGCTGATCTGAATGCTGGCCACAGATGCCACACTACTGCCTAACTGTGAGAACCGTTTTCATACTGAAGCTGGGGATGGTAAGAACTTTCTGAAGTGTCTACTTTAGGGAATGAGAACTTTGTTAGGATTTATAATAACTAGGGTTTTTAAAACATTGTTAAAACATTCAGATTTCATTGAGAATTCTGAATCATTATTATTGATAGTATCAACCCTTCATAACTTCTCACACCATGTGCACACCTGAGGGGCTCCTATTTCCGGGAAGAATCAAACCCCCTGCTTTTCTGAGCATACTGACAAGTCCTGAACCCCAGTGTGTAATGACAAGGAGCCCCTGCTTTCTAAAGAAAGAGCAGAGCTCTTGTTAACCTGTGGTTTACCTGTCACCTTTCTACCATGCGAATGGATCCCTAATCGAATCATATCTACTTTTTTAAAAACCACTTCACTAGAAAACGGTTCCAGCCCTCTAACCTGGCACACACAGGAGGGCGGCTCTGCACGCTGGTGGCGGGACTGCTTGTCTTTGAACTAGTCTGGTACTTAACTTACATTTTTTGTCTCCAACCGGTTTATTTTAGGCCAGTCCTTTAAACAGCTGAAAAACTGGGTAAACCTAGTTTATTTTTAATAGCTAGTCTACTATATTCAAACCCAAGGACCTTACCCAGAAGCACTGTTAAAATCAGTTCTTGTATCTTTGTTCAGTAGTTCCTGTCACTGGGTAGGAAGCTGTGTGTAGACACATGGCAGGGCCCAGCTATTGCTGCAGAGGGTATATTCACTTTGTGAAATGTTATCAACTTTATTTTTTGTGATTTGTGTACTTTTCTTTATGAATCTTATATAAAAAAGCTTTTTAAAAATTGATTCAACCTATGCTAATTGGATCATCACTAATTCCAGATTACTTTAAACATGATCCTCAGGCTTTCCCACCAGAGTTGAGGCAGCTTTCTAGTTGTAAAATTTGAAGCCTTTTTTGTTGTTTTTTCTTTTTACCTTTACATCCATCATGAGCATTTCCTTCCTCACTTTTCCATTTAATAGCTCGAACATCTCCTTCCCAGCCAGCGTTTGGTGTAGCACCTGGAGCATCTAAGAGGAAAACAAAGCCATACGGTGTGGAATCTGCTTCCCACTTCTTTTAGTATAAGTTCTTCTGTGCTATCATTTCCATTTCCTCTAGATGAGGTAGTCAATGAGAAAAGTAAAGGGGAAAGTCCAGGCTTCCTTGAAATCTTTCACTTGTTACATCTGATCAAAGGCTAGTGCTTTTGGGGGCAGTAGCATCCGGGTGGACCAAGGTCAGGGATCCCCATCTTTGTACTTGGATTTCATTTTTTTCATCCCTTTCTCCATCCCTTGTTACTCACTCGTATGCAGAGTGCTCTACGTGATTCTCTTGGAGTTCTTTGGATTGTGTTTTATCTGTAACAGCCCTCAGAGATGATTTGAAAATAGAACTTGCAGTGGATATGAGATTATAAGAAAAATGCTAACCAATTTCTGCCGGATTCATCATACGCCTCTATCTAGGCTGATTAGCTTGGTTGTTCAGGCTTGAAGCTACACTCCCTGTAGGAGGCAGTTCACATTTTACAAAGAGAAAATACTAAAGTCCACTTAAAAGGAGGTAACTGATTTCCCTGTACCTTTCAGAGAACCCATCTGAAGTATCGGACTTGCCACAAAAATATGACTAGCTTTAATATTTTCCGTCTTACAGAGCCTTTAGCACAATGCCTCGCACTAGTAGGTATCCTGTAGTATTTATCAAATAAATGAAGGACTTTCTAAAGATTTATGCTCAGCTTTCTCCAAAGTCTCTGAGGAAATGCAAAATGCAAGTACTTCTTTTTAGAGAGGGAACAAAAGCAGCCAGACTGACTTGGGCACATCTTTTAGCTAACTTCAGACCCCTAAAATCAGAGAACTTCCTGTCTCCCTAAGTGGAAGGTCCTGCAAAATGTAGAACATTTACAAAGCCAAAGAAACATAGGTAAATAGAAAAAAGAATCTTCCATTAAGAATAAATCTTCTGCTGATAAAGATGTATCCAAGACTGAGGAAAAAGAAAAAGCATAAATCTTCTGGGCTGGGCATCGTGGCTTACGCCTGTAATTCCAGCACTTTGGGAGGCTGAGGTGGGCGGATCACAAGGTCAAGAGATTGAGACCACCTGGCCAACATGGTGAAACCCTGTCTCTACTAAAAAGTACAAAAATAAGCTGTGCGTGGTGACACACACCTGTAGTCCCAGCTGCTTGGGAGGCTGAGGTAAGAGAATTGTTTGAATCCAGGAGGCGGAGATTGCAGTGAGCCAGGATTGTCCCGCATTCCTCCCTGGCGACAGAGCAAGACTGTCTCAAAAAAGAAAAGAAAAGAATAAATCTGGCTGGGCACAGTGGTTCACGCCTGCAATCCCAGCACTTTGGGAGGCTGAGGCAGGCAGATCATCTGAGGTCGGGAGTTTGAGACCACGCTGACCAACATGAAGAAACCCATCTCTACTAAAAATACAAAAATTAGCTTTGCACAGTGGCAGTATCATAGCCAATGAAGTTTAGCCGAGGCACGATTATTGCTAATTGAAAACTTTTCCCAATACCCCGCCGTGATGACTTGAAAAATACAAAAATTAGTTGGGCATGGTGGTGCATGCCTGTAATCCCAACTACTCAGGAAGCTGAAGCAGGAGAATCGCTTGAACCTGGGAAGCAGAGGTTGCAGTGAGCTGAGATCGCACCATTGCACTCCAGCCTGGGCAACAAGAGCGAAACTCCATCTCAAAAAAAAGTAAATCTTCTCCTGCTGTTGTTGTTGACCTAAAGAGGCATCCATACCAGTTGGGTCATTCTTACCTTTTAGTCGGTTCAGGGTCACCCAGTAGTGTTGCTCTGGGCTGTGGATGTCTTTGGACCACTGGAGCATGTCTTTTGCACGGATATCAGTCAGTATGAACTCTACAAACTTTCTCGTAAGTACATAGTAAGCACTTCCAAAATAAATAGTTAAGTTATGGGGTGGTTTATCTTTGAATCTGTTATTTGGAGATGCGTAGGTGTGTCCTTCAGGAATGGATTTGAGATGACTTTGACTTGTCTTGGATTTAATATGTGGTGGTTGGATTACTCCAGGAGTGATATTTTTATCATTCCATTTGCTTCTGATGTAGTGTATGATTTCTTTGTTGGTTTTGATGGGAAAATCCTGTCCACAAAGATTAATGACATAGTTCCATTGAAATTTGGAATGCACTAGATCTTTCATACAATTAATATCTGCCTGTAGTCTTGTAAAGCCAGCATAAGCCACCTTCTCTCTCTTGGATGATATAAAAACGTTTTCAAAACAGTTAACCAAGGTTTGCACAGCAGTCTTAAACTTCTTTGGGGCCTTTTCATCAACATGAATACAATAAACATTTTGAGGTACATAAATAGCTCTGAGAAGCTGTACAAACATGGCCAGCTCCTTATGAATAGTTATAATATATGCCAAAGAGAAATTGCCCTCTTCTGCAGACAGGGGTCTGGTTATGAAATGGAGCCCGTGAGAAATCCTGGAACAGTTTCCTGTTGTGTGTAAATGAGCATGTATTTTGGATTTATGAGGGATTTTGCAAAATTTTGCAATTTGGAGGGCCGCCCCTTTCCCTTCAAATAAAGCGGAACACAGTTCATCTGGGTAAAAGCCACATTCTACTACTTCTGGATAGACAGGTTCCTCCTCTGGTTCTGCAGGAGTTGGATTCCTTAAATAAAAAAAAATGAAGATGCAGATAACTGCGCACACCGTAAGTCCAGACTTTGTGGCTCGAAGCTGGCTCATGTCTTGACCTCCAAGTGCATTCTTATTACCATAATTTGAGTATTTTTTCCTTTAAGCTTCCTAAAAGAACAACAGATACAGTTTAGGATGTCATAACTCTCCTCCGCAATTTTATTGAAGTATACTAAACTACATATACACACCCATGGAACCATCACCACAATCAAGATAACAAGCATTTCCCTCACCCCTCAAAGTATTCTTATGCTCCTTTGCATCCTCTCTTTCCATCCCCATCTGTGGCAATTGCGATATGCCATCATCTGTGTCACTATAGATTAGTTTGTCATTGTGTGTTTAACTGTTTAAGAAACTGCCAAACGGTTTTCCAGAGTGGTTGTGCCAGTAATGTATGATGGTGCCATTTATTGTATATCCCCATGCATACTTGCTGTGGCCAAATGTTTTTTTACCTTTTAATGAGTATGTAATGTTAGTTCCCTGTAGTTTTACTTTGCATTTCCCTAATGACTAATAGTGTGGAGCATATTTTCATCTTATTGCCCTTATTTAGGGAGATGAAAATCTCAAATACTTATTTTGGACATAGACACTGACCTGTTCTGTATTATTCAAAGTTCATTGTATGCCATTACTCTGTATATAACACTAAATCTTTCCAACAAAAGAAGTGACAAATTAAGAGGAATTTTATGATTATACACTTAAACCTGTTGACGTGAGTTTCTGGGCCAGGCATAGTGGCTCATGCCTGTGATCTCAGCACTTTGGGAGGCCAAGGCAGAAAACCACTGGACCCCAGGAGTTCAAGACTAGCCTGGACAAATAGTGAGACCCCATCTCTACAAAAAATCTAAAAATTAGCCAGATGTGGTGGTTCCCTGATTATCCCATTGCACACCAGCCTGGGTGACAGAGTGAGACTCTGTCTCCCAAAAAAAAGAGAAAAAAAAACTCCAAAGAATGACCTTTGCATATAATAATAATTAATTAATTGAAACACTTTTGGTCACTTTTTGCCACTGCTACACGTATTCATGCACCTTTATAGACTCAAGACAGACAACTGTATGATTATCAAATAATGTTATTTATTAGATAAAGATATCTTGTTTTTAATCTATGACATCTTTCCTACAAACAATTCAGAAGCTCATTTCTTTTCTCTTTTTCTGCGAGACAGAGTCTCACTCTGTCACCCAGGCTGGAGTGCAATGAGATAATCAGGGAACCACCACATCTAGCTAATTTTCCGTTGCATCTTGTTCCTACTTCTATTTGTAAAAAGCCTGTGTACGTTCAACTGGTGTTTGAGCTTAGACTGGACACTGGTCCCTTGCCTTTCCACATGATTTTTATAAATGCTGTTTGGATAAAGCCTCAACCAGGCAGCATTTTGAGTTATCCTTGTGTTCTTAAACTCTGAGCCACCAAAAACTATTAACATTAATTTTAGATTTTAAAGATGTTGTATTTATTTTCATTGTATAGTTTATTTCTACCCATCATGCTTCAAAAATAACAAGCAGCCACTGCCCAGGTATGTCAGGCTACAGTGTGTTCCACTGGCTCAGTAAATGCTTTTTGCCTCAAACATGAAATCTTATAACCTAATTTTAAAGACATTCTTATAAATTATGTAATATATATTTTTATAAACATAAAGCCATCATAATTTATACATTTTATATGAGAGTTCTAAAATAAATAAAACCTGATAATAGAAATTGAATAGGAATGAAAAATGTTCTTGAAATGAAAGTAGGCCAGGCGCGGTGGTTCACACCTGTAATCCCAGTACTTTGGGAGGCCAAGGCAGGTGGATCACCTGAGGTCAGGAGTTCGAGACCAGCCTGGCCAACATGGTGAAACCCCATCTCTACTGAAAATACAAAAATTAGCCAGTTGTGGTGGCATGCGCTTGTAATCCCAGCTACTCAGGAGGCTGTGGCAGGAGAATTGCTGGAACCCAGGAGGCAGAGGCTGCAGTGAGCCAAGATCGTGCCACTGCACTGCAGTGAACTGAGATCATGCTGTTGCAGTGGCATGGTCTCGGCTCACTGCAACCTCCACCTCTTGGATTCGGGGGATTCTCCTGCCTCAGCCTCCCGAGTAGCTGGGATTACAGGCACCTGCCACCACACCCAGCTAAATTTTGTATTATTTTGTTGGCCAGGCTGGTCTCGATCTACTGATCTCAAGGGATCCACCCTCCGTGGCCTCCCAAAGTGCTGGAATTACAGGCGTAAGCCACCGCGCCTGGCCTATTTTGTTGTTATTGTTATGAGAATTTCTCTCTTGTTGCCCAGGCTGGAGTGCAATGGCACAGTCTCAGCTCACTGCAACCTCTGCCTCCTGGGTTCAAGCGATTCTCCTGCCTCAGCCTCCCAAATAGCTGGGATTACAGGCATGCATCACCACACCCAGGCTAATTTTGTACTTTTAGTAGAGACGGGGTTTCTCCTTGTTCGTCAGACTGGTCTCGAACCCCTGACCTCAGGTGATCCACCTGCCTTGGCCTCCCAAAGTGCTGGGATTACAAGCCTGAGCCACCATGCCTGGCTATTTTGTTTTTAAGCTGACTGTGAAATCATTCTGTTCCTCCTGTCACAGAAGGGAGTTAGCCCCTCATCACTGTCAAATGATACCCCATGTAAACTTAGCTTTGTGCAGAGCCCAGGAGATTGGGTATTTTCAGTAGTTTATAATAATTAAATGAAGACAGGCCCTAAGTGTAGCCCATTGTCCTTTGGGAAAATACCCAGGCTAAGTGTTTTTCTCTCCCTTATATAGACACAGGGACATGGCCAGTTCAGTGTTCACCTGCTGCTGCCTTCTACCTCGGTTCCATCAGCACAGCTTTCACCGCGGCCCAGTTAAATCTTCCCTCTGGCTCAGGTTCATCGTGAAACCTCAGAATGAGTGCCTGCTGGACTGCCCTGTTGAGTGGAAACCAGGGTCCCCAGCAGTTGAGTTTGTCATTGTTTCAATATAAGCTTTTTTTTTTGAGACAGGACCTCACTCTGTCACTCAAGCTGGAGTGCAGTAGTACGATCACAGCTCATCACAGCCTCAACCTCCTGGGATTTGGCGATCCTCCCACCTCAGTCTCCCCCATAGCTGGGACTAGAGGCTCCTGGCTAATTTTTTGTAGATGGGGTTTTGCCACACGAGCTATAAAAAGAAAAACTTGTTCATGGCTGGGCCCAGTGGCTCTTGCCTTGTAATCCCAGCACTTTGGGAGGCCAAGGTGGGTGGATCACAAGGTCAGCAGTTTAGGCCAGTCTGGCCAACATAGTGAAACCCAGTCTCTACTAAAAATACAAAAAATTAGCTAGGTGTGGTGGCACGTGCCTGAAATCCCAGCTACTTGGGAGGCTGAGGCAGGAAAATCGCTTGAACCCAGGAGGCAGAGGTTCCAGTGAGCCAAGATCACGCCACTGCACTCCCACCTGAGCAACAGTGTGAAACTTTGTCTCAAAAAAAAAAAAAAAAAAAGCACTTAAAAATTGACGTATAATTACTGTGTGTGTTTATGGAGCATAAAGTGATGTTTCAGTATCAGCACAAGCTTTTTAAGGCGGCCAGGCCCTCTATTGTAAATGCAGCCTTTGGAGATCTCGCTGCTGTTGCTGTCACTTGAACATAGCATCTAATGGGCAATATGAAAATTCCTAGAGGAAGAAACTTTTCATGGCCTGGTATTTTTTCCTTTTTTTTTTTTTTTTTTTTGAGACGGAGTTTCGCTCTTGTTACCCAGGCTGGAGTGCAATGGCGCAATCTCGGCTCACTGCAACCTCCGTCTCCTGGGTTCAAGCAATTCTCCTGCCTCAGCTTCCCGAGTAGCTGGGACTACAGGCGTGCACCACCATGCCCAGCTAATTTTTGTATTTTTAGTAGAGACGGGGTTTCACCATGTTGACCAGGATGGTCTCAATTTCTTGACCTCGTGATCCACCCGCCTCGGCCTCCCAAAGTGCTGGGATTACAAGCGTGAGCCACCGCGCCCGGCTTATTTTTTCCCTTTTAAAGTAATGGTGAACAGCATTTTCAGTTTTGCAAACATTTCCTAGCAATTCTTAGTGATTTTTTGTTGTGGCTGTTTTATTTCTATATTGTGAAGTCCACTTTTTAATGAAAAAATAATGGAAGTTTAGTTACTAAACGTGACTTTCTATCACTAATTTCCACTAAATATAGGTGCTATTTTCTAAGTGTGGGGAATATGTCTCTCATAAAAAAAGTTGTCATACTGAGTTTTTGAACCATTTTTTTCCTCCATAGAAAGATGTTTAAGATACTTATTGTAAAGGCCCTAGGAAGAGTGGCCGTTACCCTGTGTGTTCTGGAGCAGGTGCTACTGCAACCGACCTATTTTTACCAGTCCGGCGTCCTGTTTCCTTGTGTATGACTAGATCACAAAGTTTCTAAAATTTGGGTGTTAGCCTGGACAATATAGTGAGACCTCATTTCTACCAAAAAAATAAAAATAAAAAATTAGCCAAGTATTAGGGGTCTCAAAATTAGCCACATCTGTGGTCCCAGCTACTGGGAAGATCATGTGAGCCAGGGAGGTTGAGGCCGAAGTGAGCCATGATCACGCCACTGCACTCCAGCCTGGGCAACAGAGTGATATCCTATCTCCAAAATAAAATAAATTTGGGGGTTTGTGTGTGAGAGCATCTCAAGACTTTTTTCGGGTACTACCTTTAAATTGTCTTTCCTAGACCTTGTGTATTTTAATAATCTTTTAGCCCTTCATATCTGCAGCCTTTGAAAAGTAGCATTGTTAAATATGTATATAGTGTGCAGTGAAACAAAACAGCTTCCAAGCAGCAAATGATGTTAAAATCATACATTCAGTTGACTGAAGCCATGTAGCATCCAAGAGATAACATCTTTCAGTGGAAATAATGATCAAACTTATGGCCAGGATGGTGGTTAACTTTTTAGTGCCAGAATCTGCACAAGAACAGGAATGATTTCCAGTTAATAATTCTCAGAGAGGAATGATTTTACATTTTATGTTTTTGTAGAAGGTTAAAGTACTTCCAGGGAGTGGTTTCAAAACACATTGCTCTCCTAATGAGAGCCGGTGCCTGTGTTCTTTTTCTCTTCTAATTTACAGTCTTGCTCTCCCCACTCCCAACAAGCCTTCACAGCCAATAGCCAAAGTCAGCAGTATGGGTTTGATATCACATTACCTCCAGAACAGTTCATTGAAGGATAGTCTTTGTGAATTTGTTATGATGATATTTAATTTGATATGATGATAAAGACTTTTTAGGGAGAGTTGGCAGCATCCCATATATATTCTTTTTGCTGAATTTTTTATATTTCTATATTTTAAAGGTAATTCCTATGAGTAAGTAGTTAATGGATGGGTACCTCTAAAAGTGAACTCAAACTATTTTGCCATATATTGTAGCATATTACTGTTTTAGAGCATTAACATTAGCTTAACCAGCATAAA